CTTCCAGTGCCTGAAGGGGCTCCAGGAAAGCTGGGGAGGGGCTTGGGACAAGGGCAGGGAGGGAGAGGACAAGGGGGAAGGGATTAAAACTGGAAGAAGGAGGTTGAGGTGAGACATGAGGAGAAAATTGTTTGGTGGTGAGAGCCTGGCCCAGGTTGCCCAGGGAAGCTGTGGCTGCCCCATCCCTGGCAGTGTTGAAGGGCAGGTTGGATGGGGCTTGGAGCAACCTGGGCTGATGGGCGGTGTCCCTGCCCATGCAGGGGGTTGGGACTGGATGATCTTGAAGGTCCCTTCTAACCCAAACCATCTCATGATTCTGTGATTCTATGAATTGGATTCTGCTGGGGTAACATCTCCATGGACACCCACCGTGTTGCTCAGCTTGGTATATGAGGAGCTCCAGCAACACAATCTTTACCTGGGATCAAGCTGACAGCAGGAGGGATGTGATGGCTCCTCCATGGAGCTGTCTTCCTGATTCCGCTGAGCACCTTCCCATCCCTGTGGATTTTCTCCAGAAACAATTCCCTAAAGCCTCTGAGCTGGCTCAGCCCAACCTGAAAACTCAGAGGAGCTGCAGCTGAAGGTCCCAGGCTGGCAGAGGCATCTGCAGGCAGCCAGGACAGGCTGCATGTCCCTGCCCCACCAGAGGCTGCCCCCCTGCCCTGGCTGCTGAGCTCAGACACAAGAATGGTTTTTTTCTTCTTTAAAATAGATTATTCTGGCTGAACTGGAAACTGTTGTTTCACTGGCAGATACATGGAGAGAACCTGCCCCAGCACTGGTGAGCACCTTAACCAACACAGGGTTGGTCTCTTCTCCCAAGGAACAAGTGACAGGACAAGAAGAAATGGCCTCAAGTTGCACCAGGAGAGGTTTAGGTTGGAGTTCAGGAGAAATTCCTTCCTGGAAAGGGCTGTCAGGCCCTGGCCCAGGCTGCCCAGGGTGGAGTCCCCATCCCTGGAGGGGTTTCAGAGCCATGTAGATGTGGTGCTGAGGGACATGGTTAGTGGTGGCCTTGGCAGCTGGACTTGGTGATCTTCCAGGTCTTTTCCAATCAGAATTATTTTTTTGGTCTCCCATTCCTAGAGCTTCAAACTCACCTGCTATCATGGCATGTTGGTTCACTGCCATTCAGTTGGTTTCCAAAACCAAAGCTGCCATCCATTACATGTTTTGCTGGTGTCCAGGGTCTGCAGAGAGAAGAAAGGGGAAAGAGGGGTTGGTGATGGAAGCTTAAACTAACCAGGTGCTTCAGACAGCAGGACAGGGCAGGTTACAGCACAGACACCTGAAGCTGGAGCAAATAAATGTCTGCTAAAGGGTTCTGGAAGGAAACTTGAGTTAAAAAAAAATATTTTTATATAATGATTTGATTTATTCACTTGGTTGTTACTGTGCAAAGTAAGGTTTTTGTCTCAGGAGGGGCTGTGATGAGGTAGCTCAGGGAACAGGTTCTGGGCCAAGCAATAAACACCCCCCATGAGACTGTCCCAGAGCCACGTGTTGACATCTGACAGCTGCTCATGCCCTGGCAGGAGCTGCTGGGCCCAGTCTATTTCTGGCCCTCTAGGACTGGTATCACTGTGGCCCCTGAATGCCAAACAAGGCTCCAAGTGGATGGAGAAGGGCTGGGAGCAGCCAGGCTGGCTCTGTCCTGCCCAGCTCCAGCAGTAATTCAAGCCTTGAGTTACCACAGCAAGTGTGTCCAAATGTCTGACATGCTCCACCCTCCATGGGATTGTCCCAGGAAAAACTGGCCTGGGCTGAGTGTGAGATGGAGATTTAAAAAAATCTAAACATCTAATATATTGTCATTAAAAAAACCCCAAACCTTCAACAACTTAGTCTTGTGTATGAAGGGAACAGCCCTAACCACAGAAAGATGGTTTGATGAGGTGACAGCAGCTTTGGTTTTTCATTCTGGGGTTGTGTCCAGCACAGCTCAGCTCCCTGAGAACTTGTCTCCATGAGTGGTTTTTCCCCACAGGTCGAAGTCCAAGAGCTTATCCAAAGTAGCTTCATATTCATTCTTTACATCTGGCAGCAGGAGCTTGTAGGTCTTGAAGTTGTCTATGAAGGACTCAAAGAACTCTCTCTAGGGTTGAGTGGAGAAAGCAGGACTGAGAAAACATTTTAGGGGCACAATTTTATTTTCACCTACAAGAAAGCAGGGGAGAGACTTTGGACAAGGACAGGGAGGGAGAGGACAAGGGGTGATGGCTTAAAACTGGAAGAGGGAGATTGAGGTTGGACATGAGGAGGAAATTGTTTGGTGTGAGGGTGGTGAGAGCCTGGCCCAGGTTGCCCAGGGAAGCTGTGGCTGCCCCATCCCTGGCAGTGTTGAAGGGCAGGTTGGATGGGGCTTGGAGCAGCCTGGGCTGGTGGGAGGTGTCCCTGCCCATGCAGGGGGGTGGGACTGGATGAGCTTTAAGGTCCCTTCCAACCCAAACCAGTCTGGGATCTCATGATGACACCCATAGTTTCCTACTCTTCTCAGCTACTCTCTTCTCCTTTGGCTGGCAAATTTAAATAATCCACCTCAACACGTAGTTTCAAGTCAGGAGAACCTTGTACCAGACCTGCAGCTTCAGTTCCTGGAAGTTCTTTTGAGTCAGATCAAAAGAGTGCAGCTCTTTCCTCAAATAGGCCTCCATTTCTTCCAAGTGTGGTGGCATTGGAATGGTGAGAAGGGCCCTCCTATTGCTGTGGAGACACAGGAGAAGAAGGGTCACCTGGGCTTAGGTGTGGCAGATGTACAGGGATGAACCTGGAATAAATCAGCTCAAGGGTCTTGATGTTCTTCCCACTGCACATTCCTTCACAGCAGGGCTTTTTTTTTTTTTTGACTGGCACAAATATGTTCTCTCAAAGGATGATAGAAAATCCCTTGGCAGGAATGTCTCCATAATGTCCTGGCATTAATTCTCTTCAGTTGAAGAACTTCATAATGGTTTTTGATCTAAAGAATCAGGTGAGGGGGTTCTCAGTCAGAAGAGAAGAAATACTAATTGTGTTATTTGAAGTGGGTCAAGGAAAGCAGCAATTTGAAAAGAGAACTGAGAACATTCCACATTTCCTGATGTTCTAGGTTCCTCAGGAAGTTCTAGACCAAAAGTCCCTTTGCTGAGTGTTCTTGTTTCATATTACAACCTGGAATTGAACCTTAAAAGCACAACTACCCTTATTATATGACCCACCACTGTGTCCTGCAGCCTGAGCCCCTCTGTTCTGCCTTGGTGAGGCCACATCTGGAATGTTGTGCCCAGTTCTGGGCCCCTCAATTCAACAGGACAGGGAACTGCTGGGAAGAGCCCAGGGCAGAGCCCCAGAGATGCTGGAGGGAGGGGAACATCTCCCTGCTGAGGAAAGGCTGAGGGAGCTGGGTCTGTTGGGCTTGGAGAAGAGGAGACTGAGGGGCCACCTCATTGCTTGGCACAAATCTGTTCAGGGCAGTGTCAGGAGGGCAGAGCCAGGCTTTGTGCAGTGATGTCCAGTGACAGGACAAGGGGCACTGGGTGCAAACTGGAGCCCAGGAGGTTCCATGGGAATCTCAGGAAGAACTTGTTTGCTGTGAGAGTGCCAGAGCCCTGGGCCAGGCTGCCCAGAGAGGCTGTGGAGTCTCCTTCTCTGGAGACATTCCAACCCCCCTGGATCCTGTGTGATGTGCTCTGGGTGCCCCTGCTCTGGCAGGGGGTTGGGCTGGGGGAGCTTTCCAGGTCCCTTCCAACCCCTGGGATTCTGTGATTCTGTGTGACTCTGTGATCAGGCTCTGCAGGTTCTTCTCCTGCCCCTGGGGTGTGGGGGCCTGTGGGGAGGGGGAGGTGGGACCCCTGGGGGGCAGCCAGGGTGATGCGTTGTGCAGGGGTGATGGGAGGAGTCCCCCACGTGGGGAAGGTGTGATGTCAAGGCCGGGGTCGGGGAGGCAGGAGAAGGATGTGGCTCCACCATGGCTGGGCAGGAAGCCCCCTCGGGGGGGTGAGCCCCAGGGGAGGTTTCTCACAGCCCTTGGGGCCAGTTTACCCACCTGGGCTGGACCAGAACCACTCTGGAGCCCTGGGGCTGGAGAAGCTCTTGCCGAACCTGTTGATGCTCCTGTCAGGGTTCAATGGCAGCGGTTCCTGGTCGGGTTTCTCCCGCCTGGTACAGGAACTGGTCACTGCAGATCCCGGTGAAGCACCGGTGCCTCCTGCAGCCTGAGCCCCCGGGGAGCAGCCCGGTGCGTGTGTGTGTCTGTGTGCGTGTGTCTGTGTGTGTGTGTGCGCGGGGCTCTCCCCGCCGGCCCCGCGATGTTTACACCCGTCGTCATGGCGACGCCCCCCCTCCTCGCTTCAGGGCCCCGGCGGCTCACGCCAGACGTGAGCA